CGAAATCCCTCTAATAAGCCTCTCTTTCCTCAGTCATAAGCCTTATGCCTCTTCCTCCTATCTAATAGAAGCTGTTCATTTAGGCTAGGTTACGTTTTAGAATAAAGTTGTCTTGTCAGTTTCTGTTTTATTCAAAGTAGCTTTTCTTAACAGAGAAATGCAGTACTCGATATTAATCGAGGCTAACTATAGGTCAGAGGAAAAGTAACGACTTGCAGTTCGGCTCCATGAGTTAGTTCTTGGTGAGCCCTCCTTCTCTCTCTCTCTCTCCGTCACTCTGAAAAGCTCCCTATCTAAAAACCCTGGAAATTAACAAGCCCTCAGCAGAGGTTTAGTAGAGCCTTAACGACAAATACAGGGTTCAAAATTATGTCTCTCAAAGACTGATGCTTTGTTCTTGCTTTGTTTATTACATTGACAATCCTCTCTCAGCCAATGCACGTGCTTTTTTCTGTTCAGCCATTAGGAAGAGTCTGTCATTCGAAATCGCTAGTATCCTCGTCACCATCTACACCTCTGTCACTCCTCCCCGTTCTGTTTAAAGACTGTTGCGATCCCATCGAGCCTTGAGAGCTGAATCGGTTTAGCGAGGTCTGAGAACCACTTTTCGCCACATCCAGGGTAGAGGGAAATGATGCAGGGTGAAGGTCATTCTGGAATGCCTATGGACAAGTGGAGACAACGAGAGTTTATCATAGCCAGGGGTGGATGTAGGAATTTTTGATAGGGGGGTCCTTAACTTTCATTTAATTATTTTTCCACTATGGCTTCAAAAAAATATCATTTCAAAATAACTTATGATTTAAATACTTCATATCGAGTAGTAACATAAATCCTGTCACTGCACTACTTTGATGTCAGACAAGTGTTAAAAAACCCCAAAAGTCTGATGGTGGGGAGGATCAGACCCCCTTGCACCCTCCCCCCCCCTGATTTACCTCTGATAACCAAAAGTTGAATACAAAAAGAACTTATCAGACTCTGCAAAGTGTAGAAATGCAAAAATCTAACAATCCCCTTAAGAGCATGATGGGTAATCAGGACAAAAGAGAACAAAATTCAAAAAAGAAAAATTATATGAAATTCACTTTGTGTTTTTGTTTAATTCGATCATAATGTGACAATAATTCTGGGAACAGCTAATAAACAAGTAACAAAAAATTTCTCTAGGCAGGAAAATCTCCTTTGCCAGCAGGGCTCCTTTTTCCTCATTTTGAGTATTTTAAGCCTTGTAAACAGTTTTGTATGGGAACTTGAAGGTTATAAATAACCATTCATTAAAGGAGAACCCTTCTCCCCTCAAAACACCATGATGGAACAATCAAGCAATAGGTAGTTGAGAAAAAAAGACAGGGAAAAAGTCCTGTTGACCATAACTTTTCAACATTCAATTTGTATGGTGAGTAACAATTGCCTTGTTGCTCCAAAAGCGTCAACCAATTTGATGGTTTTTGTAAAGAGAAACATGTATGAGAAAACAGCTTTGTTTCCCACTGGCCCACACAATGAGCCAATAGTCCACTTTGCAGTTACATGCTTGGTTGCCAAGCCTTTGAACAGGAGTGAGGCTAAGGGTGACCTTGTTATGATACAAACTTTGCCGCTTTTCAAATGTAAGTGACTTTGTTATCATGCTAACAAGATACTGGTCTTTATCACAACATGGTCAACTTCAACCTCACTCCAAATCAAAGGCTTGGCAACTAAGAGCACAACTGTAAAATGGCCCATTCATTTTTTTCTCACACACATAAATGCATGCTGAAGTACTGAATTAACAATACCTCTATGTCTTGCTCCTCATCCAGGGAACTCAGCCTTTGAAATGCAGTTGTATAGAGCTCCAGTGCTTTTGCATGAAACAACATTTGACCATGAAAAAAATTGCTAAATACCAACTGTAAAAGTAAAGATACCATAATTTATCAAATTACATTTATTTCTTGAGTTTATCAGGCTTAATTGTTTATTCAGCTCATTAACCCTTTTACTCCTAAGATTTCTTTAGTAATTCTCTTTACTGTTAACGTTTGCGATACAATTCTCATGATGTTAATTTAAAAAATCTGGTATTATTTCAAGTAATAATCCTTCACTGATATTTTTTCTTTATTCTCAAAAGTTGTCCCCTTAATAATACATTAATATTGTAAGGAGAAGTTCTGTCTTGGTCACTCATGGGAGTGAAAGGATTAAGCAGATGCTAATCAGAGAACTCAGCCTGATATTGGGGGAATAGAAGATATGATACTTTATTCCAGACCTAAAAATAGGCATTCATTTTCTATGATTTTGACTAACTTGTCCTTCAACACCGTTACAACCAGCATACACTCTCACCCTGATATCTTCAATCTTCTTTCTTTCAAATTCCACCATTTGTTCTTCCAGTGTCTGTCTTGATCGGTTAGCATCAACAGTTAACTTTTGCAGGTTCTGCTCAGCCTTGAATGTAAAAATTTACAGATTATTTAACTGGAAAAAAACTGCTGTTTTTGTATCAGCAAGCATTATGAAGTCTACTCTTAATTCTTCAAGAGAGCCATAAGAAATAAGACATTTTCCTTTGAAATACCACCATAAATGAAACCTTCATCCCCTAGAATTGAAGTTGCCACCCACCTGTGACTGTTTAACAGTTAAGAATAATATTCTCACTGAACAATGTACAATAAAACTGCAGTATGTATTCAATATGTAACAAATTTATGTCCCTAATAGGATCCATTCAAGTCTAGCTATTGAACAAGAATCCTTGAAATTGCCTTAAAGAGGATTCAAGGATACAATTTTTCCCTTGTTCTTTGGTTCTTTGGCCCTAAGTTTATCCACTGCTTTGCGTTTTATTGATTCTTTTTCTCTAGTGACAGCCAGTTCCTTGACATATTCTCTGGCATGTTTGACATTTGTGGCATTCAAGGACAATGGGGGAGAAACCTTTGCTTGTATGAAGTCTACCTGTAAAAAGGAAATTTTTATCATTGAAATTTTTTGGAACAAGATGGGGAGGGGGGGCTGGGGGGAGGAATAAAAATTGTGGCAAGCATGAAATCTTAACATACAAACACCAACAGTTCTCTAAAATAAGTCCACCATAACTAACAATAAGGATAACAGAACATGAACAAATTATAAATGGAAACATTCTATAGTCCCACTCCACATTAGAGCAAAGATCCAGTCAAGTTGTCGGCAAACTACATTTAAGAGAGGCAAGGGAAGGACCACTTGGCAAACAAAAGACCATGGTTGCAGGTATCCCTGTTAATCTTTTTTTTTTTTTCAAGACTGAGAAGAGGATAACAAAGGGTTTATAGGCGATGCATGATTTAGCCCAAAATTAATGAGACATGTGAAGTTTTCAGAAACTAAGGCAAGGCAGGCTAACAAATTATAGTTTTCCATTTAAAATTTATGATGCTTGAATTTTTCTAAACTTTGTGCATGAAATAAGATCAGGACCCAGCCTGTGCAACCCTCTGTGAAGATAGACATTATTGGTGATTTTTAATCAATAAAAGGAACTATAAATTCCTTGTTACCTGGGCTCCCATATAGTCCTGCACTGCAGCTATACTTTCACTGATACCACCTAAACTTGCTTTCATTGATGGGTACTCATCATCAGCAAAGATATCTACACTCTTCGATAGTTTCATGCCTTTTTCTTGCAAGGATTGCAGTCCTGTAGCAAAAGCTGTAAAATCTTTTAGTAACATGCTGAAATGTCTCTCTGCAAGGTTGATTCTCTCTGTTATAACTTTGTTTTCATGGTCCCTGAAATGTAACACCAGTACATAGTTTAACCCTTTAATTCAGAAGTGAGAGATAACTAACATGAAACTTCTTAGCTTATGATGTCTATACATTATCAAGCAAACAGGTAACTCATCTGGTAGAAGTTTTTTGTCTTGATCTAATACCAAATTCTTGTAACTAATCTACAAGGAAATGAGTAGCAGCTAGAGGGGAGAATTAACAAACAGATCCTGTGAGTGAAAGGGTTAACCCTTTCACTCTCAGGAGTGAATGAAAATAAATTTCTCTTCATAATGTCAATACATATTCATGCAAAAAGGTTACAAGAAGAAAGATAGGTATCAATAGGGGATATTAATTGATTTGACAGAAAACTCTCATTCCTCAAATTCTAATGGGAAAGCATAACAGACTGTGTAAAGAATTGATATTTATATCTAGAGAGTGATCATAAGAGGGCTAACTTTGTTATGTGTGTTAATGAGGCCAGCTCTCATTGTCTGCTGACAAGCATGGCTCTCTGCCTTTTAGGGTCTGCCTCATACTGAAGGAAGGATGCTATTTCTCTCTCTCCCCCATCTAG